CTAAATAACCTTCAAAGCACTGACTAAGTACAATAAATCACTACGAACATATATCGTATACACCCCCCCGGAAAGTTTACACTATTATGCCTGATCCCTGACTCATATGAATTTTCCCCCACTCATCACAATACTTGTCAAGTTTCGAAGAAACTTGACACTAAAAATCTGTCTGATGAGCAGTTAAAAAAAAACTCTGTTATCATGTCTAGGTTGATAGAGGAATCCATTCACTCAAATTATCAACATTTTTAATAGTAGATATGCTTATACTTTCGCAATCGAACAGACATATTTCCACGTTCGGTATCACTTGTGTCCCACAGGCATATTACCATTTGCATTCAAGCGTTACCCCACGCCGCGAAAACAAGTTGTTTACGAGTTTTGTAGCGAGCGTTTTGATCGGAAAACTTTACGTTTTACGTGCAAAACAATTATGACAGGGGGCGTAACTTTGCTTTGCGTTTTTGCACTTCCGGATTGAGACATTACAGCCAGTACAAGTACAAAGTTAAATATTCTGGAGGAAACACAGTGAAGGTTAGTTTTTATAGTGAATACTATTTAGCCTACTGTTGATTTGAAGCTCGATTTTGATATACGGTGTCGGTGAAACGAGGACTCAAAATCAATGGACAATGGCGGATTTTCAAGAAAATCCGCATCATGTTCAAAATAGGCCGTTTCAATTTTACTAAGTTTTCGTTCCAACTGTGTCTTTAAAGGTTTATAACAATAATTTTACGTATATTGTCAGATAGCTGGTGAATTCAGCTACATTTTGGTACGAGCTATATAATATTGTACCTAGAATATTGAGCGAGAATTCGTTGCCTAAACGAGGGTGTAAAAATTGCCGCGGAATACACATTCTAGTCGGACAATATAATGTCTGGTTTTAGGCACGAGGTTCAACCGCTTATATTAATTCGAAATTTAACGACATACACCCCCAACGCGGATGGTTTGAAAGCTTGTGAAAATGCCTACATTTTAGTTGGATTTATATTCAGGTTAGTAGAAAATTCGCCGAGAAAATGTTCGCAACAAACTGTTGTTATGCCACGGAAATTCAAAAATATCTATTACATTTTCAAAATCTCGCCTTGCTGCGCATGTAAACACACGCATTTGAAGCTTTCAAAATATATAGTTATAAGTTAGAGTTATAAACCTTTAAAGACACAGTTGGAACGAAAACAGAAAACTTAGTAAAATTAAACGGCCTATTTTGAAAATAATGATTTTCTTGAAAATCCGCCATTGTCCATTGATTTTGCGTCCTCGTTTCACCGATACCGTATATCAAAATCGAGCTTCAAATCAACAGTAGGCTAAATAGTATTCACTATAAAAACTAACCTTCACTGTGTTTCCTCCAGAATATTTAACTTTGTATTTGTCATGTCTGTAATGTCTCAATCCGGAAGTGCAAAAACGCAAAGCAAAGTTACGCCCCCTGTCATAATTGTTTTGCACGTAAAACGTAAAGTTTTCCGATCAAAACGCTCGCTACAAAACTCGTAAACAACTTGTTTTCGCGGCGTGGGGTAACGCTTGAATGCAAATGGTAATAACTTTGTACACAGAGTACAGTTTTTGCTGAAAGAGCTTGACATACAAGTCACAAACTGTGTTGGTTACCATAATTTTTATCGCCAGAATGGCATGCAGAATTCCGTAAACCATTTTCAGACGGAGATGTTTGAGAAAATTTATAAAAATGATGGCTTTGTGTGTATCAAAATGTTTGCCTATTAAAATAAATATGGCCATAGGCATAGTTCTCATTTTGCAGAATGTGAATATCATTGTGCTGAAAGGGGTCAGGGTAAAATGCTGATATGGACTGACAGGTGGACAGGTGACCCATTTTTTCCTAAATTATGTTTTAAATATCATATCTGCGTTTTACGTAATCGCTAAATCGGGAAAAACAAGTCAATGGCTAAAAAACACGAATATGTTGCAAAATTTACTTTTCGAGTCATCAAACATTTTAACCGATCAGATAAAATGCAGGTATGATCTGAAATACACTTCTTGTGTATTTAGGCTATCTTTCAAATGAGGGACGTGGAAATGGTGGAATCGGGGAATCTTTAGCAGGGGGAATATAGC